TCAGATCCCAACACTTGCAATCGTCGTAATCACGCCCATACCGACAGCGTCACACTCTGAAGGACGTTTCAACTGATTGTTGAATGCATTCGGTTCCAGCTCCCACGAGGCATCCCTAGAACAAATAAAAAATATTCAGTATTCCAATACCAATTCACCCACCTCCGCCTCACTTACTTTTCCGGTATATAAATCCAACGCTGCTGCATCTCCTGGCCAAAAGTCGTCCTTGTTGCTGCACAAAGGGCAATTGAGAAAGTATCCCGCCGATTGAGCAAACTGTGCCACGCAGCTCCGATGGAACCAGCCATTCTGACAGCACGGGGCACGAATCGTGTCCAGCTTCCTGTAGGTCCCATATCATCGTTGCAAACCCCACTGGCCTCGGTCTCGGAGTATTTCACCTTATCCACCAGCGCTACGTGCTTATCGCAGCACGACTGGAACGTAATGCAACAAGGTGCCTGACCGCATCCCACAGAGCGTATGAAATATACGGAAGCTCTTCTTTGCGCAGCAAGAAACGGTAGCCAACCGTTTCTTGCAGATGTAGCACTTTTTTCCTCGGATACGAGCTTCCTCATTCCTGATGTCCTCCTCCATGAATCCGAAGATTCCCTCCTCGTTTTCCCCATGCTGGACCAAATTCGACGTCAGCAGCTGAAATTAATTTCCAATTAGCTAATCATTCACAACCAAACTAATGTAATAGCGAATTTGTTTATTAACCAGGTTGGAACCAGTTCCAACCCGTGCGAACCCGAGCTTAATGTCAGTGTGAACCTCAACCCGAGCCAGGTTACAATAACAAACGTTCGCACTGACGTTTGACAGGCAAGAAGCAGACCCAATCTTGATACCCGATCCAGGTTGGAACTGGATCAAAAACAAATTCGGCATAAGTAAACCTACCAGACAGTGGTAGTGCACCCGAGTGCGCCACTTTTTGTGAAACATCCCCAATAAAAGCCATCAATTGACGCATCTTATTCGTGAGTTATCCACCATGAAACTCAAACAACGGGTTCCACGTAATGGTTAGAACATTTTCCACTTCCAGCTTAATCGACACAATTTTCATAATATGCACTAATGACCGCCAGCTAGGACCACATGAATACTTTGGGAAGGCTTTTTGACTGCTATTCATACTTGGTATAAAGTTTAAGCTATGATAGTGTAAAATTTAATCTAAGGAGCGTATACAGCGTGAATTTGAAAAATGTTTATTTTTTAATCTAATAATGAATTGTATTATTTTTTCCCTCCCCTTGGCTAGTTTTTGCACCTTGCTGTTGATGGGCGGGCTTAATTTCATGCTTTATAGTGGAGTGTTGGAGACGGTAGGTTTATGGTCGGCGTTGCTGGCTCATGCCGCGAAAGAATGGCGTCATGGGCAGGCAATGGGGATTACTATGCTTCCCCTCTCTGATAAACCACTGCATGAGAGAACCAAAGATCTAGTCCAGCAGTGATAGCATCACACTTGTTACTCCTTTAATTGAGAGTCGCGTCGTAGTACGCTTACGTATAGGCACTGACGTTGGGTGTGATACTGGCGGGTTTTGCCGCAAATCACTCTTATTTTATTTATTTTTACGCAGATAGATTTATTTGGGTTTGCAAGGGAATTATACGATTATACTATTGAAATATTTCAGAAAATGCCCAACGGTGCTCCTTCTATTTCCGTGACAAGCTTTCATTGTTGTTTTCATTGAAGTGTTACACATCATTTTTGTACATGGTATTGTAACTAATCTTAAATGTGCTTCATTTTGATTTGGGATAAGTGTTTGAACTATGGCTCGGGAGTTCCACTGTGGCGTGCTTCTATTGTGACATACCCATACGTATTTTTGTGGTGCGACATAGTGGAACTATGATATAATAAATAGGTATAGGCTTAAATCAAAAGTACTTGAAACACGTTTAAGTTTAGATTACAAGCACAAGTGAAGGTACTTAATAAAGCATGGGTTATGATTGATTAGGTGAATTAGAGCTTTTAATAATTTATTAAATTAGACTAATGAGATATCATAATCATCAAATGAACTTAAATAAGAAACTTCAGAAAGTCTAATGACATTAAGTAGATTAACAAAAGAATTAGGATGCGGGGGTCCGCTTAGGGAGGCAACTAACCTTTAAAGTTGTAGAATAAATCTTCTTATTTAGTCTTGAACTTTAAAAAGAAAACGCAGGCAGACCAATAGCATTAAGCAGATTAACAAGGAGAGGAATAGTTTAGGAAATAAGTAAAAGTAGAGGTATGTGACAATTAATAGCTTTTAAACTTTTGGAGGTATTGTATTCCCCTGAGTTTGTTGTACTCGATTACTATATTATTCTCTCAATACGCGAAATCTCTTATATATGCGGTTAAAGCATTTGAGTTAACTTATTTCTTAGTGTTCAAGTACTTACATTTTCAAACAGCAGTCAATGTTAATCTATGAACTAAACCATACGTAAAATCGATCTTTTCTTATGTGATATTGATGCATGTTTAACTTTTCGCGGCTGTCGGAATCAACGCGCCTACGTCTACGGAGCTTACGCAGAAGTGATTCGCAATGTGGTAGAGCTTGAAATGATTGATACGTGCGGTGCGGTAAAATAACTAAATTGAAACAAAGCTCAACAGTAAAATTAGTAGAATATCTAGGGAGGAAACCAAAATTAATCAACTTGCCAACATAGGCTATCACATTTATTTTGGTGGTACTCTTTAAGTGATAATAAGCTGTTTTTTTTCTCTACGGTTGTTTCGCGTGGCGTTCACAATTTGCGCGATTTTCGTATCTTACGTAATTTAGATGTTCAGCTCTAAACGGTTTTACTGACTCGAGGTCGTTCCTTAAGCGGTGTTGGTACAGGTTAAACCTTTGCCGACTGTCGGATTCAACGCGCCTACGTCTACGGAGCTTACGCAGAAGTGATACGCAATTCGGTAGAGCTTGTCAAACGCTTTTGAGCTTATGTAGTATAGCATTTGTTCGGTGCGGTCGCGAAATCTTGAAATGATTGATACGTTCTTTAAATTAACTAATTTGATACAAAGCTCAGTAGTAAATAAGTAGAATATCTAGGGAGGAAACCAAAATTAATCAACTTGCCAACATAGGCTATATCATTTATTTTGGTGGCAATCTTTAAATGATAATAAGCCTTTTTTCTCGCTTCGGTTGTCTCGCACGGCTTTCGGAATTCGCGCGGTTTTCGTAACTTACATAATTTAGATATTTCGTTCGAAACGGATTTACTTATTCAATCGCTTTACTACGCAGATGTATCTACGCGCACACGTCACAGCATTTTTTCTATAATTATCTTGAAACAATACATACGGAATCCAGTGTTCAAGCGGCCAACATAGGCTAGTCCTTCTGCTGTATTGTCAAAGATAGAAGCAAAATTTATTCAAATGGGTCAAGTCTTGAAAACTAAGCTGTTACGCAGCTCCAGCTTGATACCAATAAAAAAATAAAAATAATGAATTGTATTATTTCTGAGTGTACATTCTATAGACCTTTTATGCAATATTGTTTGCGAGTTAACGAGCAAGCTTGTTTTCCGCGAGAGGCCCGAGAGATGTCGTTACTGACGTCCTATGTTTTGAGATACTATGTTTGCAAGAAAAACTTTTTCAAAGAGCTACGTCTGTTTGTCTGTGATTAAAAAATTTGCTAGGTTTAGTTTGAAAATGTTTGTAGATTAATGAATTCTTAAATATAGTTGCAGATTTTTGGTTGCTAAATGAATTACTTAAATTGCTTTATGTGGAATTTTCAAGATGAGCAGAAAATTATTCGAATAAAAGGAGTTTCGATAACTTGGGCCAGGATGATCAACAAAAATTTAACTGCCACTTGGTTGGGATTCAGAGGGCCGGTAATTTATTTGCGGCTTTGTGACAACATTTCTCCCCAAGTTGAATTTGTGCATCTCTGAGTGGACGCTAAATCTAGTTGGGACCAACACAAATCAAACTTCTGAGTAGATTGAAATGTCTTTGTGTAAATGCAAGAATGGAAAAGAGTTATCTATTAGAAGAGGATAATTTTTCTGAATATGTACTTGTAGTTCTAGTTCGTAATTGCGGGGGCGACCCCGGTGTAGTGGTTAGCATCCATACCTCTCACGCCAAAGTCACGAGTTCAAATCTCACCCCCGGACAAGTCACGAATGACCCAAGAGCGTTAAAGTGACTATAATAAAAAAAAAAGTTCGTAATTGTGTTTTAAGGATCCAGCTCGGTTTGAACTACATGTTTTGGAAACTTTTTTATGCTCGATAAAGTGTAGGAGTATCATTTTTTCATGTATTTTAACCAAAATCACCATACAAAATTCAAACTAAAAGCTCCAGCTCATCCTAAAACCAAATGAGCTAAAACTTTCAGAGAATGGATTTCTCACCTAAAGGCTCCTAAAGGCACACATCTAGAGGTTGGCCCGTGGAAAATTAGAACTTTTATTTTTGTGGGCCAGTCTAATATGCATGAAGTGTCGTTCAGATTAGCGGGGGCCACGGTAGGTTATAATCCCGAAACACACTTTTGCCAATCATTTTTCGAAAGAACCACACATGTTTGTGTTTTTTTGTTAGAAAGTCTGACTCTAAAAGACCTTCCTAGAGACCTGCCAAACTCGCTTCAAAACAAGTGCCAAGTTTTATTTTGCACGTTGAAAACTTCAAATCGAACTTTTGCCCCACCTTATACTCTAAAGTGCAATCCCAGGGGTGGTCTCAACGATGACCACAACGACTGTCACGCGAAACTAAGCATCAGCATGTCTCTAAGTCGTTCGGAATATTCTCCATTTGGCATACACGTAAAAAAATACAATTAATTACCACAGATTTTATGACGTTTAGAATATTGCTGTTTTCTTATTACTAATTACGGCACTATCTAAATTTGTACTATGATAGTACATCACATTTTCCAAAAACTAACCGACTGACATTGTATGTTACTTCCCATTCCACAGGGCGTTGCATTCAAGAACCGTCGCTGTGCGATGTGCCGACGGGACATTCCTCCCAGCTATCTGGAACATCCGCAGCTGGTGAACGGGCTGCGAGAGGTGGAAATGGCTGCCAAAGCCAACGACGGTGCAGAATATCAGTGGTACTACGAAGGCCGCAACGGTTGGTGGCAGTACGATGAACGCACCAGCCAGGAGCTGGAGGAATCCTATCAGAAAAAGGAGAGGTTCTGCAAAATTTTGGTGGCTGGTTTCCTATATATCGTGGACTTTGAACACAAGTGCCAGATTCGACAAAATGATCCCTCCAGAATTCGTCGGGTAAAGCGAGATTTGGCTACGATTCCCAAGAAGGGAGTAGCTGGCTTGAGATTGGAAACGAATGATTTGACCGCCGGATCGACACCTAGTTCCAATTCGGATGGATCGTTGAACTCGGATGATTTACATGCGGAAACTAATCTACTGCAGATGCATCGCAACATAGTTGTCGAGGAAACGGAGGAGGACGAACTGGAGGAGGATATACGTCGTGTCAATTTGGATGGCAGTTTCAGCAGTGATACTAATAATAGCACAAACAATTCGTTTGGTGAGGAGGACCCACTTCCGGGAGGCTCCGGTAGCGGGGTCAACTCCGGTGGCGAAGTGGAATTGACCGAAGCTATCAATAATTTGAATGCACTGTCGTTGCGAGAGCAACGAACGATTGAAAGGTCAGGAGAACCAGTTACGATCAGACGACGTATTGTAACCGATCTCCTGGCGCTCAGTGATAGCGATGATGATAATGATCACATTATCCTTTAGATTTTGAGTAGAGTCACAACTACGTAGTATGCATACCGCATTTTTAAGCACGGCTATCTGGAAGCTTGAAGGTAGTTTGGCAATTTTTTTTTTAAATTTCCGTCTTCTTCATAAATGAGCATTTTTGTGCAATAGAAAGAATTCAATATTTGTTTTAGTAGCAAGACTTCTGGATAGTACCGTTGCATTATCCTCGAAGGAAACCGCATCACTAGTGGCTATCGATAAGGACGGTTCTTTCATTCACGCAAAAAATGTTCGCAAGACTCGTTATGTTCATATTCGATCTTTTAGTTTGTAAGAAATAATCTAAACTGGGCTCTCAAATTATCAATCTATATAATAGCTATCAACATAAGTATACTTTTCTACACCGAAATAATCTGAAGCGCTGAATATTTTTGTTACTGCAACTTTTTTAACTGATTAATAAAGCCAACATTTGGTTGAACGCAATGTCTTTTATTCTTAATTAGTCCTAGGGCTTGCAAAAATGTAATCTTTTGATGGATCATAAGGTAGCCAATTACCACCGATGTAGATCGAGATACGCCAGCATTGCAGTGAACCAAAACTTTGCCTCCATCAAGACGGCATCTTTCGATGAATTCATTGGTTCGTTTTAAAACTTCTTGCAAATCAGTTTCCGGTAAATCTAGGCATTCAACAAAGTTCGTTTTAATATCCTGAACACAACCTTCGAAGGGTGGGGTATCTATACCGACACTCAGAACGTGTGTTATTCCATACTTCTCCAATACTTCCTTCCTGACACAATCTTGAGATCCCAAGTATAGAAAATTACTTAAAATACATGCTGGTATCTGATCGGGACTGGTATCCACTATAAATCCAAGTCGAGCAGGAGCATTCCGTTCTACCTCACCACAGAAGATCTTCCTGCTGCCATCTACAAACGTGACGGTCGTTTCAGTTGGCTGCAATGCTTGTTTGCTTTTCTTCAGCTGCTCCAGGAAGCTCATCGCGAGGAAATTCCAAATCTATGGGATCGTATTCCACTTTACACAGAAATAGTCCGTAAGCTGGTGCCACTACGGCTTGATCACACCAGGAGCGCTGCGAGGGTACCGTTAGCATCCGGTAGACGTCACGTTCGCTGATTCGCTCTTCTGCTGCAGCAATCCAGGCGCCTACCATGCGACGAACCTGAAGCGGATGTGCAATGTTAAGCGGTAATTTGACGGACACGTTCACAAAGTTGTATCTAGTTAATTCTACCATTCCACTTAATAGTTAGCCCAGCCCAGTACCTGTTTATAGAGGAATGATCTAGCCTTTATTCGAATGTCCCAATATTCGTAATACTTTTCCGCTATCTCCCTATTAAAGGCCGATGCCATTGAAGTGCCCCGTATGATGGAAATGTGTTCAATTCTCCTAAGTGTATAGCTTGCATCCTGCTGTCGTTGGTTTCCCCGGGCAATGGCCATGAACGTTCGAAAGTCGTGGTACCCTTGAAACGTGGTCGCCACGCGTGCCAATCGTTCGATATCGAAACGTGGATGACTAGAATGATGATGAAACCGTCTATTTTCCCAAACATGATCAATTTCATAAGATTCTTACGCAACGAAATAGCACCGATCATGTTCATCGATCGGTATGAATCGACTAAACGGATGCATCTGAGGGTCATGGCAAAACTCCCGCTTCATTACACCCAATCGGTACAGATAAGTCCGTGACTTGGCACAGAGTCGCGCATGGCAGCTCATCGGAACTAACTTGGTGTCCAGTATTCTAATCGGTAGGCCTTGGGAACCGAATGTCCTGTTCAGTCCCTGGGTCAGCTTATTCGTCTTGTACGGTTTGCCATTTGGTCTTTCCAGGTCAACGTGAACTGTGTTGTGTAGGGCGTGAACCCCTGCATCAGTCCTGAGAAATTATAATTCATTTTCCTTGCACGTAGTTATTTTTTTTTGTTTAAATTAAACCAATGCGTTCAACTAACGCTATACAAAAATCTACACTTTACTCTAAAAACATTGACTAAACGGATCCAAACTTACCGACTGGACAGCTTTATTTTAAACTCGTTTACGGGTGCAAACTTTTTCAGCGCAATCTCCAGTACTCCCTCAACGGAGCGCAGATCTTCCAGATGTCCCGAATCCTTCAACAGGTTTTTCTGAATACCTCTGCAAAGTCCCTGTTGTTTAGATTGAATCGCTCTATAAGTGACAATCACAGAATACGACTTACCTGAAGTGAGTGCCGATGTAGGATAAATTTATTAGATAACGATTCATTTATACAATTTGAAAATAGTGAGCCGGAAGTGTGAATTGCTTCAGTATTATCGTACCGAAATCGTATCGTTTGATTGCGGGAGGTCGAGCACGACCGAACATATGATTTTTGTTTACTCCAATGGCACAGACAAGTCAGAGCAGATGTCTCATTTCGAGAGGAAAACAAGCGGTAACGCTTGTAACGCCAAAAGAGAATCGAGAAAATTGACAGTACTCGTTTTGTTTATCATCAGCAAGTTCACATTCACCGCATGTGGATGGAGTCGTCGGTTTCACCCGAATTTTAGATTTCTTAAGGTATTTGTTACAGAAATTTGGAATAGTTTTATTATTTTACGGATGCAAAATAAGCGATTGATAAGTGCAAAATAATTTCGGTCAGGTAAGTAAACTATTTAGTTCATGGCTCACGAATTCGTTGGATGTACATTTTGGTTTGCTGTTGTATAGGGTAACTGGACTCAATTTAGCCGACTGGGCACTTTAAATTCTGCTTTTATTTTTTTACAATACATGATATATAAATATTATTTCTATTCTTGCAGTCTTCTATGCTTCAGTCGTCTGTTGGAATCCCAAAAAATGTCACGTAATTTAATTTTGTTGTGGTATTTGCCTGCACAAAGCCACTGTCTCTCCGGAAGACCGTGCACAGCTCTATGTGAGTTCCGGGTTCTAGTATGTTCACATGCTACTTAGCTATTGTCGGATTGACCCATGTCGTCAACTGGTAGTCGTTTGCGAACATATTACTCGACGAGGCATGAGGTAGGAACTTGGATCCTATCACACTACCCCGAATGCCATTACCTTGAATCGTCTTGTATCCCGAATACCATTATCCCGAATAGTCATTTGTATGTTCGTTTAACCATGGACAAATGCTATATAGCGAAGCCCACAGGGCGACTATCTTTATGAATTGGAATGGTCTGTATTTCTTAATTCAACGATTTTAAGGTGATTCCTTGTTGAGTCCATAAATGGCCACCACGTAGGCTATACATGCACTTCCACCTCGAATTTTCAATAACACAAATCTCGGAAATCAGTGCCGCATTTCACCTGAAATTGCTACTGCGTGGAGTAACAGTTTCATTGTGTTACGTGTCGTGGAAGCTGATATTTGTGCACTTAAGGTGATTCCCTGTAGCGACCTTTTTCGTGTTACACTTCGCAATTTCACATATAAAAATAATAAGGTTTCTGTGAATGCACGTAGCTGAAATTACTACTTGTTTGCTGCGGAGAAGCAAGGAATGTCTGAAATTTTCAGATGTATACACCTCGTAGATCTTGAGATGTGTGCTCTTGAAATTGCGAGGTGTGATGGAAAAACGGACTCTACGAGGAAACACCTTAACGTTTCGAAGTGGTAGCGAGAATAAGGATCTCACAGCGAAACACCTTAAATTGGCTCACTACTTGACTAGCCTATTGGTCCCAAACAAATCGGTTTACGTATCCCATTCTAGTCGAAATTCTAGTACTACACAATGTTTGTTTTGATTCGCTATGAAAGTTTGACATTATTGTTAAGTTAAGAGCCAAATTCTTCAAAGTTAAGAGCCCAATTCCACAAAAATCTTCTAAGATTTCATGACATTTTCAGCAAGTCTAACATTTTTCAAATATTTTTAGAAAAGTTATGTTTAGACTAATTGATTGAAATTAAATAACATGTTCTTTTTTCAGGGCTTCTTCTGCGAGACAAAAACAACGCCAGTATGTCGGATAAAATCAAAGTTGGGGATTATCTCGTGGTAAAGCGCCAAAAGTACACCAAACTGCAGAAGTTTACCAACGTGAACACGATAGTCCATCTGGGAAAGGATCAAATCGAACTTCGTTCTGCCGACAGTCAACCGTACCATACGACGTTTCAGCTGGTGCCCAAGGAAGGTCGCAATAAACGTCTGTTCACGTTGGACCCGGTGGAAACCGTTTCCGAGATAAGAAATCTCAAGGAACTGCTGATTAAGGAAAGTGGTTCGGACAATCGGAACATTGTGGATGACCGTGGCACCCAAGGGCTTTCGACGGAGGCCATCCTGAAGCTACGCGAGGATTGTGAATCTTCATCGGAAGTTATTGGAAAGCTAGTGGAGAATTCGAAAAGTTTCGCTTCCAAAACCGAATACTCCCAGGAGAAGTATTTGAAGCGCAAGGAAAAGAAGTATTTCGAGTATGTCGAGATCAGGCGGCCATCGATACGGTTGATTGCCGACGTCTATTGGCGATTGGATGCCGATAAGGTCATGGGTGTACGTTTCGATACGTTGTCGCAGATCATTTCCTACAGCGGTGTTTGCGGGGTTGGTCGATTTTTGCTGTACGAGTCGGGAACGAATGGGTTGCTTCCGGCTGCGTTTATCAATTCCATTGGAGCTAATACCGAAGGAAGGTTGGTTCATATGCACCCGGGAAATGTGGCTCAGAAACAGGCCATCCAAGCTATGAATTTCGAACCGGAACAGCTGAACAGATGCATCTCTGTTAATATTTATTCCGTGCTGCGAAATTTTTATCAACAAGGCAAAGAGGAAGCTGTTGAATCTTGTAAGCATGATGAAGAGGCAAAGGTTACGGAGGCAGGAGCGAATGGCGATTCCGCTCCACAAGAAGACGGAAGTCACAAACGTAAGAATACACCGGAGGATGATGGCCCAGAAGCGAAACAAGCGAAGTTAGATGATGATAATGGTAAACCGAAGAAACAACAGTGGGAGCTCGAGAATGAAGCGGCATGTGAATTGATGAAAGAGAAATTCGACGCGCTGGTCATCATAGCCAAGGAGCATCCGTATAATATAATAAAATCGTTACTGCCCTTCGTGAAGCCTAGTCGTCCATTGGTGGTGTTCAACACGACGAAGGAAATACTGCTCGAGAGCTACATGGAACTGAAATCGAGCGCCACTGTTACCTATCTGCGAGTTACATCCAACTGGATGCGAAACCTTCAAATGCTGCCCAACCGTACGCATCCTGACGTTACCATGTCCGGCAACAGCGGATACCTGCTTACCGGGTATACTATTCGATAGTATGTTTAATATTGTGGACAAATAAAATATTTTCGGACTCAATAACAACTCGTGGTATTTTCTTAATAAATTCAAATACATTTGATGCATTTTTGTTTGCTTAAAGACAATTTCTCTTTCTCTCTTGTTTTCTCCTGACATTAATTACATCATACAGCTGTAATATTAATAAATTATCATAATGGTTTATCCGTATAAGTATTCAAAGTATAATTTAGAAATCCTAATGTTCATCACTTCCGGTGTAGTTTTTTTTTGTCCCCGCACAACTTGTAGTTTGTCTCGCTTCGAATGCACGCTCACCTGTCAAGCCATCACGTTGTTACCACCTACTTCCGATTATCCCAAAAAGGTCTTCATTTCCTCTGCTGTTAGCTTATCGATTCGAACATTCACTTTTCCCCCATAAGACTATTGATTCGCTTTTTTCAACAAGAAAACAAAGTAAAAGCACTCTTGCTTGCTTTTGCGTCAATCTCATGATAGTAGTAGAAAAAAGCACCCATCAAGGGGCGCATAGAGAGAAGGCCGGGGGAGTCAGATTTCATTCGTTCGTTCGTTACATATGGTCGAAGAAACTTCACTTACTAGAAAATTGTTCGTTAAATTAGTCGTAAGAGTTGGGGGCTGCTTTCCTTTCAGACTTGATAAGCTGCTTTATTTATTTTTCTTGCTGAATTTACCTAATCGATCTACAATATTCGCAAGTTTTGGTAGAAGTTTAGTCTTGCTGCTTAGGATGTTATGCATTTCATTGCAGTTACTATTTCCTTGATAGGATTAGGGAGATTTTTTGTTATCAGTATTGGTTTTAGTATTTTTCTTTAAATATTTGTTGTATAAATTGATTATTTCTTAAAATTTCTTCACTTTTGTCTACGTTGTTCTTCTTTATCAGTATTAGTTTATTATTTGCTTTCACCTCTTAATCGACAACATAATTCGTTTGAATATTTGCCCCAGAATAGCATATGTTCGTGTTCATACAAGTAAAACAGGGTTCAAAATTTGTTATACCTTCGCCAAACTAAGGACACAAGCTTGTATCGTTAAGAAGCATAACTCTGGTCAGACGTTTTCAGCATCGAATAAAAAAAAAAAACTTCTCAGTATTGACGGTAAGATTTCTATCGAGTGAATAATTACTCAAAAAAGTTTCCAAAAGCGTTCAGTGAGTGATAGATCGTGCAGTTCAATGTACAATTTGTGTGGACCAACAAATATTATGCTTGCTGGATGATGGGTAGATAGGTACCGATGACGATGGAGATTGAGTTCTAACACTTAGAATAGGGAGCGCAGAAATGAAGGCAACACTAAGGAGAAACAAAATATTAAAATGTTTGCCCACATGCCAGCGTTTCATTGTCTCAGAGAAACAACTAAAACAACTAATCCAACCAAATAATTTGAAAGAGTTTTGAAGTAGACGGTTTAGAAGGTCGTTTCCAATATCTCCTCAGTGTCGGCGACTGGTGGATCATCTTCTGGCGCCTCTTCTGATACCGCTGCAGCTGATGGTGGTGGTGATGTCGTCCTGTTTTCGTTGGTTTTTGCTGTCGTACTAGTAGGTTCTCCTTCTAGCTCATCTTCTGGGTCGTCCGTTACAATATGTATGCAATTTTCCGACGGAGATGAACTGTTTTTCGAATTGCGCAACTGCTGCAGATAGTGACGCTGGGTTGGCTTATGCAGTGCCAGCTGCGTGAGAGCTTCTTCGATCAAGAACCACTGTCGTTTACGACCGATGGTTTTCGAATCTTCCCATTCATCCTGCTCCTCGGTGACAACCATAACGAACACCTCGGTTCGATGCATGTGTTCACTATTCTAAAACCGTAGATCAGAAAGGTTAGTTTGAAAATTATCTACGAGTAAAATACACTTACTTCAAAAATTCCTAAGCATCTACCAAGCTGACCTTTTACACCTGCTTCCTCTAAGACTTCGCGAGTTGCCGTCACGCAGGACTCCTCGTCTGGTTCGACCCCTCCGCCTGGAACTATCCATAGTTCCGGACGTCGTGAAGATGTTACTAGTAGTACCTGCAAGCAGTATGTCGCATTAAACCGAGATTCGTAAACGTTAACATTGACATTGATCTTTTGTACAACAGTGCTGCTTGGAATCGGATGCGTCTTCCGGGCAGCCTTAAGGATAGATAGTTCTTTGCTTTGGAACACGGCTTCGAAACCTTAAGCACACAGAGAAATGAATTTTAAATTCAAATGGATATATTTACAATATGTTTGAATCAATAACAAAATACATTAGGCCCTGAAACAAAAATCCATTTTTCTGCGTGAGGTATAAAGATAGTTAAAGAGGTTAAAGTCAACTAAATGCCGTCGTGGATATGGTTTCATAGAGTGACATAAAGATCTACACTGGCGATTTTAATGCGAAGTAAGTAAGTCTCTGACACAAGTGCCGAATCGCTAATAAAGGAGCGCTTTTGCTTTGTATCGTCTTGGTGTCTTCTGCGCACTTATTTCTTATGAACCAAGGAATAAGTGTACCGAAGACATCAAAACGATTAATTGGAGAAAGTAGGCTCTGCCTTTGAACAAGTTTGACGTACATTTTCTCCGCTGTTTATTTGACGCGTAAAAGATAGGGAAATATATTTCGTCATATTTTTATAACAGTATAAAAACCCAACCACCACACCGGTCCAGAAGTCGATAACAAAGAGTTCAAGCAAAGAGTCAAGAAGGAGCTCCGAAAACAAACTCCCCCACTAAACCCCCGACGTTCTTTCGTTTGCGACGACGTCACGGAGAAGCGACCCACAAGTGGTGAACCTGGAGACTCCTTTAATCACAGATACAGACAGGAAATTCCCCTGATTAAAAGGAATCACCATGGATCAAGGTGTATTCAAGGAGAGGCAACATGTTATTTCAGTTGAAAAGTATCATCAGTACGAGGCGGAGGAAGCGGTCAATGGTGGATATCATTCTGATTCAAGCAAGAAAGATGGACCAGCAGCGCCATGCAATTTCATCCGGTTGACATTGCTCATGGATTCATTTGGTAAGTTCGTTCCTATTTATTAATTCACTTGTGATGATGATCGTCAACAGCCTTGAACAGCCAGAAACAGTTGCAGAATTAGGTGAGAGCTTTCCATTTATTTGATTTAAATAGTTGTAAATTTAACTGCAAACCCATAGACAAACAAATATCATTTGATGTTCTGTTTATAGTCACCTGTGTACGCTACAATCAGTATTAGTTTACCAAAGCGATCCATGCTGCAAACCTTTCCCCACATTCAACATCCCAGTAATTTCTCGTGGAAGCGCAGAGGACTTCTAGGTTTCCTTCATAGCGAGTGTCATGTCAACACATTCCTTCCCATTCAGTATTTGATCTGCATTCGGACACGGCCGGCTCTGGTATTGCTAAGTATTAGATCTGCTGTTTTTACACATTGCGGATGAATGTTAGTCCCAAACATCATCTGTTGGTTCTTTGTGTAAATGCAGCTGATCTGGCGATAACAGAGCAGCAACCGTGGGCGGTTAATAATGCTCATGCAAGTAGTCGGTTACCCAGTGCTTCCAAATCAGGTTGGCTTGGATTAGAGATAATCGCCATCATTGCCACAGCACGGTGACGCCATTATCGTGGGTGCAGAGTGAATTGACACTATTGAATGACCTCAGGAAGAAGTGATTCTGCTAGCTTACTATTCAAATTCCTGTTCGACAATCCCTTTATCAAAGGAATTCAGAAGTATATTATTTTGTATGGATCCCTAGGACACATCGTAGTAAATGAAAACGAGGAAACAGCATGTTTTGCAGCCTTTGGCAGACTAGCAAGCTGCTACACCTGGAAGGTCCCTGCCCTGGATCTACATCATTGACTCGTGACCACAATATTAAACTGCTGAAAATGCGGAATGCTTACAGTCAGGAAATCAATTCTTCCGGAGGATTAAGGGGGATACAACGAGATGGGAAGACCCACAATTGAGGAGGATTGGCGACATAGCCTGATCGCAAGTTCCACATGGCCAGATGTCAACAAGGGGTCACTTGGTCAAATGAGTAATTTAACTGATTTTTAAATTTGTGTCAAACTGCATAAGTGATTTTCAAATTTGAAGGGTGAAGAGCATATTCCGAATTGACTTGAAAATAGTGACCACCGCCGTTATGAATTTCCATATTGTATATTTCAAATCAAAAATATTTTTTATGTTCATAGATTTCACATAATCCCTTCCCCTTTGTCCTTCTCCTTTTCTTTTCCCTTTTCTCTTTTCAGAAAGCGAGTAGTGCTGGGGGGGGGGGCGTGCTGTCAAATCAGCCTACTGATCATTCTTGTATGAAACTGGTTCCAAACGTAAACAAACGCTGTAGGTTTCTTATGGCTTGTTTACGTTTGGAACCAGCTATGCGAGGTAGGCGACGATTGTTCGTATTTGACAGCCACCTCCCCCCCTTGGAGTAGTGGCGCTATAGCCATAAGTCATAAAAGGCTGGGACAAGAGTTAGTGCTCATGCCCCAACCGTCAGAAGAAAATGGAGCATCACTTAACCTTTCTAGCTTTGATGCTTCCAACGACCAACCAATCATATAATTACCAAAATCGGATCGTACGAGTACGGTACGAGATGTCCACGTTTCATCCATTTATTGGATTCTGAAGCATCTTCGATTTAAACAGGCCCGATGTTTTCTGAATCATCTTGTCCCTTAAATACTGCACAGTAGGCCTGGCCGTTTTGATATGTATGACGCATCTTCGATGTGAAACATATATCAAATAGACAAGAACAATGATGTAGGTATATATATTATTTTCCAGGATGCTTTCAGGAACTGGCTGTGTTAGTGTTAGATTAGATTAGATTATATTAGAAGACATCAAAACGATTAATTGTATTAGCCTTTCCGCACTTTTCGTTGCACTTATAAAGGGCGCAATGTGCTATATTATAGGGATTTTTAGCGCTCACTTAGTACTAAGTGAGGACGGTAATCTGTTTGGAGAATTTTGTGGCAACAACGATTGAAATGCTTCTAATCATCAGTGATACTCAGGGGGCGATTCAACACACGATCCTGCAGTGAAAATATCATTCGTAAAAAAGCTCAAAACCGGATCAGCAGATGTCCCAGAAGGTGACATCGTAGAACAGCAGAGAAGGTTCCCTGGCCATGAGAGAGTGTAAATTCTTCCAAGCAGGTGCCTGCAGATAATCTCACATTACAACAGTAGAACAAAACATACGAAAAACTAAAAATATAAAAAAAGTTCTTTGCAGAGTGCAAATCCAAATGAAAGCATAATGCCTTGTTCAGGTTGAGGTTCAGACTATAGAGTTATAACATGGGTGTGATAATAATTATTGACATGAAAAATGTCATCAAGATAGCCTTGTAACATGTAACATAGCTCCGTAGTCTGAACATTGCAAAATACTGCCCAGTAATCAGCAGATGCATCGTTTCTGTCTCAGTTTCTACTCTTTTGGATTGATTTGAGCAGTTATAATCTTCTTCTTAATTCCTTTATTTAAGGTGAAAATGACCTAGTGAGGGGCCTCCCTTAGCTCAGTCGGTAAAGGCGCAGCTACAAAGCAAGACCATACTGGAGGTGGCTGGGTTCAATTCCCGGTCCGGTCTAGGAATTTTCCGGGTTGGAAAATTTCTTGACTTCCCTGGGCATAGAAGTATGATTGGACTTGCCACACAATTATACCAATGCAAAAATTGTACAGGCATCGAAAGCTCTCAATTAATAACTGTGGAAGTGCATCTAGAACACTAAGTTGAGAGTACGCAATAAGCTAATATGCGATATGCAATAAGCTTGAAATGCGAAGAAGAAGAAGAAGAAGACCTAGTGAGTAAATACAAATTTCAAAAATAGTATTCTCTGGGACATCACTTCACATTTCGTCGAACCTCTTAACTGAATCCCTTTATGAAGAGTTTTGAGCGTGTTGGTGTGTTGAGTACTTGGCACTGATGAAGTCTGCAAGTAGTAGATTACTTTTACCTTAACGTCGGTCTCTTTTATTTTTTTGACGTAGAACTACGTTTGTGATTTGAAGGCACACTTTGTGAAAACCGAAAATGGAACATGTAACATAATTATGAAAGATTTTGAATGTTAATAACTCAGCTACCCCTGGACCAATTGCAATAATTTTATCATCAATCGATCAAAAATATTTCTACGCATCTTTTTCAAGGCATTATCATTTTTTTAAATTTCACTATTGAAAATTCCACGAATGTGCAAATGTTGCTTGATAATCAAAATTATCACCGATTGCCTTCGAAAAGCGATTTCTCTAACACAGATTTCAAAGTTGAATTCCATCCGGTCTCACCAAACGGTGTTTATTCAATCACCGCGTTGTGAGTGGTGGTGTTCTCCAGTACACAACGAGAAGCTCCCCGCAAGCAGCTAGCTATCAAGGGTGCCCACAACCGCTGATCGGATTCAGTTACAATCACCGTGTGTGGTGGTGTTCGGTGCGTGGCGCTGAACATTGTTCTCCAGTACACAACGAAAGGCTGTCTACAAGCAGCGAGCTGCTTCCCACATAAGCATCCATAGAAGAAGGAAGAAGCCGCACAGTCATTTATCGGAAACAGTAGCTCTTCGTGAGTCGCTGTGGGCAATCTATGCCAAGCGCGTCACCCTCATTCCAAACAACATACAGCTCACCAGCCTCATCTGTGTTTAACACCCTTATAACTCAGCATTACTGAACCATCACGACAAAACGGTCCTTTTCAGGACCACCATAAATTTGTAAAAGAGTATTTTTTGGACATTTGTCAAGGTCATCAATCGGATGTCAGTTCCCATATCAAGCTAGAGCTAGAGTTAGGGTGTAAGAGCTTTTGTAAACAATGACTTCTTTCGATGATGTCTTGAAAGTCAAAGCTCACCCACGCAAATCAACAAAACTTCCCCTACCCGACGGTAATGTAGGTTTGCGTGGGCGTGCCTTGGTTTCCTAAAAATCATCGAGAGAAGTCATTGTTTACAAAAGCTGTTACGCCCTAATTC